GCCTCCCTAATGATGCGATCCATATAGCGGGTCTTGGTGGCGAGGATGGAGGTATTCTGAAGCTGAATGCGGTGTCCCAGATCGATGCTGTGTTCAGCTACGGCCGACTTGCCCGGTTGTTCGAGACGGATGTGCCGCTGATGCTCCTTCAACCTCATGTCCACGGAGCGGCCTGTCTGCCCAATAGAGACCTTCCCGCACTCGCATGGGATACTGTATACACCCAGTGTCCTTAGGCCCAGGCTGTCTTTAACCGGCCGGAGGAAATTGGATGATTTGTTTGGAGGCAGACCCACTGCTTTGATGTTGTGCCGGGATAGCACTCTGCTGATACGGTTGAATATGGTCCCGACATAGGGAAGGAAGGCGACTGAGCCCGGTTTGTCTTCAGGCCGGCTGATGTTGGGCCGACGGTTGAGAACTCTGTGGATCTGCCGGTTTTTGTATCCGTTCTTCTTGAATACATCCTTCAGGAGCACCAACTCCGCATGTAGGCTGTCTTGATCCATATAGAGGTTAGAGATGACCGGAGAAAGTGGCGAGCCCATCGCCACACCATCGGTTTGTTAATAGAACTGGCCATTGAAGTTGAAGTATGAGGTGGTCAGGATATGGCAGAAGAGTCTCAAGATGTTTTCTTCGAAATGTCGTCCTAGCAGATCCATCGTATCCTTTATAGGCACCCTGGTGAAGAGTGACTCTACATCGAAACTGACCATTATGCCGTGGGGATCAACATGGAGAGAGTCCAATGTGTGGACAAATTCCATGGAGTTCCTTACGTGGTGTGGACCGTTGCCAGTATATGTGCTTAGTAGGCCAGCCAAGTGTTTAGCCAGGCGATAGGTGGGAGAGCCAATGGTGCTCACAATGGGCCTTAGTGGAACGTCAGGCTTGAGGATTTTCGGCAACCCGTAGAGTCTAGGTTGCCTGGAACCTTGAGGTCGTAGCTGTTGGCAGACCTACTCAGCAATCTGGGACTTTCAGGAGAAGAACAGTCTTTCGCTCTATGGTATCCGTAGAATCCTTCTTCAACTTCCTGTAGGCTTTATCCTCCAAGAGAGCGGCGATCTTTCGGTTGTAGTCAGACGTATCCAGTACCACGGCCGCATTACCCTTATCAGCAGGAAGGACGGTGAGCGCCTCATTGGCTTTTAACGACCGAAGGGCTCTTCTCTCGGCACCAGTCAGATTGTCCTTTGGCTTGCGGGAGTTCTTCAGAATCCTGACCGTCTCCTGTCGGATCTCCTCCGCAGTCTCTACAGGCAGGAGAAAGTGATAGTGGCCCTGTTGAAGAAGGATCCTACGGATACCTTAGAGCGCAAGACTGTTCTTCTCCTGAAAAAGTCCCCGATTGCTGAGGAGGTCTGCCAACAGCTACGACCTCAAGGTTCCAGGCAACCTAGACTCTACGGGTTGCCGAAAATCCACAAGCCTGACGTTCCACTAAGGCCCATTGTGAGCACCATTGGCTCTCCCACCTATCGCCTGGCCAAACACTTGGCTGGCCTACT